CCTAACAGTCTACTCTGAGAGTTAGTAGACATGTAGTTGCAAATTAATGAGAATTAGTTGACATGTAGTTGACATGTAGTTACAAAGTTACTTATAGTAAGTAGAATGTCTAAAGTGGACTATGGAAATAAAGTGTAACCTAACAGCCAACCCCTAAGGTCAGTTACCTGACATTGTTGTTATTAGGTCTCGAGGATAGGCGGATAACACCATGGTGATGGTCATCGCTCAATCTCATAGATCCATAGTTATGGACATAACTTACATCTTTCCTATCTGAACTCATTATCGCGCGCTATTCATACGGTAATCATTCACGTGAGATGCGTGAGCCTGTAAACGCCCACATCACTTCCGTAAACAAAGCCTGAAGATTCATCAAGTTCATCTGGGATACTTTTCGTTTCTGGAAGAAGACGCGCTGTGAGGGAATAAGCCTGAATTCACCTCAGAAGAAGAACGCTTTGCGACGCGTGGCTTGAGCAGTGGAGGAGATCATTTCTGAGAGTAAGTCATGTTTTATTACTTGTATTAGTTGTTATTGTGTTATTTTGATGTAACTTGTACAAATTTTACTAGTTCGACTTTTCCCAAACTATAATTCCTGACTACATGTATGAAATCAAGGGAAACCTTTTGAAATGTGTTTCATTTCATTGCATCTAAATGTCTCACGACGCCAGGATGTTTTTTAATGTTCTATAAAACATAAAACAATACAATATAAAAGTAATACGAGTATTTACACTGTAACAATGTGAATGTTAGTCTTAGAATGTTTAGACCAATCTTTACGGTGAAATACTCTGTTCACGTATATATAGATGTTTATAACATGCTTATTAATATTTTAGTTTCTTAGATATAAATTGTTTTTGTATTGTATAATTCATACAAAAAATGTTTGAGTTTATGCCTACAAAATCATGTTTTATTATTATTATTTTTATTATTATAGGAGTTATGAGTGGGCAATATTAGTGATTGCTAATGTAATAATATAGTTGCTCCTGATATCAACATGCTAACAGATGTGTTTTTTTTTTTTTTGGTGACCAGATACCTTGAAGACTTCACTTAAAACTGTTTTTCTCTGAGAGTGCTGTACCAACATCAGAGGATGTTCAACTACATTGGGCTGATATTCTACATGAACATGGTAAAATAAGCTCCATGACTACTGATGATGGGGCTGTTGTTTTTCTTAAATCCATGGAAAGAAGCAGCAAACAGTTTGGAAATATCAGGTATGATTTACTTGTTTCATCAGTTGAACAGGATCTGTTTCCAGGAATGGCACAAAGGTGTCTCTTTTCAACAGGTCAGGTCTGCCCCAAAAACTCATCCAATTATCTATGAAACCTGTGTTATTCTGTGGGCACCACTTAGACATCCAGCCATTGAGTGACGACAGTCTGCTATGTTTCTCGTCACCACGGTAAGCAGGGAGGGGACCAGAGCATATTACAGTGTCTGACATCATGCTTGCAAGTTCACACACCTCTTTAATGTTATTTTTAGTGATCTCCGACTGGCGAAGTCGAACATCATTAGCGCCGGCGTGAATAACAATCTTACTGTATTTACGTTTAGCATTAGCCAGCACTATGTATATTATACTGTGTTGTAAATAAAATACAAATAATCAAAACCCCTATTATTTTACTCTTCTCACATTCTTTCTTACCTGCCTCACAGTCGCAGTCACTTATTGGGCCATTAGGGGAAGGCCCTTTGTCTCTCAGGTGTGAATCACTAAATATTCATGGCCATTGTCACTCCCTTGCATACAGCCTTTCTAACACAAGACCTTACAAAAGATTAGGGGAAGGCCCTTTGTCTCTCAGGTGTGAATCACTAAATATTCATGGCCATTGTCACTCCCTTGCATACAGCCTTTCTAACACAAAACATGTCTTACAAAAGTTAGATCAATATATTGTTTTCTGTGAATGAGAGGGCAGGATGATTTTCACATCATTTTATAGCAAAAACTCTAGTCTACCACATCCAGTTCTCAAAAGTCTTGTCGACAAATGTTCTGTATGTGTTTAACGGCCTTATTTCAGTGACTTAAAAATGTTACTTTTTCACTAACCACGCATAAAGGTTGTTTTCTCAAAAACACCAACATGTACATTAGGGGTGACTCCGAATAGTCGAAGATTCGATGCTTCGATAGGAGGAGCCTGATTTGACTACCAGTCTCACAGTCGAATATTCACGGGGTGTTATGATCATGCCATTTTGGCTATATGGGGGTGCTCAAATGTCTGATTTCACTTAGAACTACCAGTTTTCTCCCTATAATATACAGCCTATTAAGATAATGATGTAAATAAGAATCTGAAAAGAAAGACGCTTTAAATATTTTAGCGTGTGTGAATAAATCCAACCACCCTTATAGATTTAAGTTTCACTTTCTATAATCCGTGACTGACAGAGGAGCATTTTGGCGGCAAGGATTTAAATCTTTACAAGACTCAAACTGACACAGGATTTTTTCGATCAGATAGGGTACAAGTATCTCTTGAGATACTAAGAGGGTACTAAGAGATCTCTTATCTCTTCAGCGCGCAGCGCTAGCAGGACAAACAACAATGCAGAATATTAATAACTATGACTGGGACTGTCATATACATAACATTATAATGAGAACACTATTATAATAAAATGCTGTGAATTTTTAGAGTTTAGTTGCCGTGTTTCTGCACGTTGTTGCGTGAAGAACGCATCCACAAAAGTTCATTCAGAGCCGCGCAGACATGTTCACTTTTGCATTCGGTGCATTTTGTGCCTATAAGAAGTCATAATATTAACGTTATGTTGCATAAACAACGAAGCGTAGGCTATTACATATGAGATGAATGATGAGTAAAAACCTGCTATCAGATATTTCATTAAACTGGTCAACTTCCGCACGCAGCTCAAAACAGAAATGGAGAACATTAATAACTTCTGTCATATACATAACGTTATAAGAGCACTGTTGTAAAAATTTTTTTGAATTCTTAGGGTTTCACTGACGTTGAATGTTAACTATATTTTAATCAAAACATAAAACATTATTTATTATTTATTTTTGTATCAGCGAGGCGTCCGTTACACATTTTCCCTGTGTGTTAACGTCAGTAATTATGACTGTAAAATGTCTGACTTGATGCTTGGCCCCCGCCCCCAAACATATGATTCGACTATCAGTCAACTATCGGCAAGATTCGAAAATTCCAATTCAACTATGAAAATCCTTAGTCGGGGACACCCCTAATGTACATACATTCTTACATATTATTGTAGCACAGTTTGTGCTGAATACAGTGTAATCAGACTTAAGCCATTTGTATGTTTTTAAGATACTGAAAAAAGAACAAATGTCAGGACATGTCAAAATTTCTCCAGGGATCCAAAACCTCCTCAGACCCCAGAGGGTTAAAGTACAGGAAGATGCTAATGCAAGCTACAGAAACAGTGTTGCCACTTTGGGGATTTTTGCATTTCTGGCATTAATAAAAAAAAAGTAATGAGATATCATTTAAATAGTCTGTCTGATTACAAGAAATATATATAGGCCTATTATCATGTCCAGTCAGAATAAAAGCAACTCTGACTGATTATGGTTTGTCATTACAGAAATACGGAATAGGCTATTCATTTTTAACTCAATTCTATTCATCTTTGTTGGGGAAAGAAATGCTACACCATGCTTTCATTACATGTTGCTTCTTTAGCTCAGTGAGTCTCTTTACTCTTTCATGTTTCATGCAACATCGTGTACATACTGTAAGAAATACGTTCTCAATGTATAATTTATCTTTATACTGGAAATTAATTATGTGCACTGTTTCTTTCTTTGTGTAAAAGAAAATAGAAAAATCTATGAATTAGTAGTGAAGTTAAAAAAAGAAAGAAAAAGAGTAGGCTAATTAGCAGCAATTAAACTTGCCTGGATGAAATCAAATGGATGTGTGTTATTCATGTATTTTTCATGTGTGTACTAGAACTAATTTGAAAGACAAATAACTTGTTGACGTGTTGACATGCTTTTGCATTTTAAAACTGGTCAAATGTATAATATGTGGTATATGTGGTTTTTCAGAGGAGAATATAAGCTTTGTGCATGTTCTGTCTTTCATTTTTGTGTGAGCACACCGAAAGCTGGACGAACTGCTGGATCAAAAGCTTACAAGTGGATCTGAAGTAAGTTTAATATGATAAACTAGCTAATTAATGGGGATAATTATGTATAATGATATAATAGGGCTGCATGATATTGGGGAAATACACATGTGTGTGTGTGTGTGTGTGTGTGTATTACAAGTATAAATTCAAACCTCTTTCGGTAACCATTTCGTGGTAAAAAAAACTCTTTAAAATATATTGTAATAATAAATATTGTAAAAAAGAATTAGTAAAATAAACTCTAAAATAAAAAAAGAGTAAAATTGCAATAATAATATTTACGGATAAGTTTCTTCATCTTTTAAAAATTAAACCATCAAGATTTTATTTTGACGTTTTGCACACAAATAAAAATATCTGCTGCCGGTTTCAGAGTGAAGCTTTGTGTCCATTAACACGCATACAGCCCATGATATCAGCATCTCAGAACAGCTTGATTCACTGTAAATGAACCAAGCCACAATTTAACAATTGCACTAAGCCATATTGCCATATTGATTTTATTTAAAAAACAGTATATTATGCAGCCCTTCATGTGATTAACAATGAGGTTCTGCTGTGAAGACCAGTGAATTTCTAAACACCAGTTACATTGTTGTATAAAGAATGATTTAGTGATTGATTTTATATTATAAATTCCTTGTCTATAAATTAGTGCTGGTAAATATCTGTGTAAGTATGGGCAAATAATTCTGGGCATTTTCTTCAAAAATGTGTTGTTGTTGTTTTTTTTCTCACTTTTTTTCACTTTGAAAGAATAACACAAGGAGACCAGTGTTCAAATAAATGCACACACACACACACACACATGTCTTATATAGATGGAGTCTCCATTGCCTGCAACCAACTTCACAACTTTCACCAGTTTCACCATGAAACCAAACACTACTAACACGACACAAGATCATTGTGAACTCCCAGCTAATGAGGTTTTTATATTTGCATATTCACTACTGTTTCTCGTCAGTCTGGTGCTGAACTGCATCACCATGCGGGTGTATTTCTGCACCAATCAGCATGTCCAGTCCAGTGTAACAGTCTACATGAAGAACCTGGTTGCAGCTGACTTTTTCCTTTGCCTTTGTTTACCTTTGCGCATTGCTGCCTACGCCAATAATTCAGAGATAATGGGCAATATTTACTGCAGCTTTGGAGCAACAGCATTCTATATAAACATGTATGCAAGCATTCTCTTCATGGACTTTATTGCTGCAAACAGGTATACACCAAATGCTTGTCATTATTTAATTTCTCAGGAAAAAATTTGCATTTTTCTTTTCCAGAAACATTATCTTTTGTAATGAGTTTTTAGTTACATGGCAATTCAAACCCAGCTAATTGGTTTAAAGCAACCTGGCATCAGAACAGAGTTTCCAATAGACCACTAAGTGAACAAATAGATAGCAGATCTTAAATTGATGTCCCAAATGCTCTCGCAGTCTTCATGAGTTCACACATTGAAGATTTGAAGGCTCCAATATATTTTAAGTGATGTCAAAGTCTATTTATAGAGCACTTTTAAAAACAACAAGTCTCAACCAAAGTGCTGTACGACAGTCAGAATAGAACAGTAAACACATGAAACAAAACATAAATTGCAATGCAAACAGCTCTCATACTGAGTTAAAAGCCAAGGAGTGGAAATATATTTAAACACTAGATTTAAAAGCAGAAAGTGTTTTGGCCTGACTAACATGGAGAGGCAAATTATTCCAAAGTTTTGGGGCTGCAACTGCAAAAGCATGGTCATCCCTGATTTTCAGCCTTACTCGGGGGATGACAAAAGGAAATGCTCAGCAGACCTAAGTGCTCTTGATGGAACATGTGGATATATTAAATCAGAAAGATATCTTGGTGCTAGTCCATTTAATGATTTGAATATCCAAATACCACAACTTCTGTTTATCCTTCATTGAAAACCTTGTCTGCATTTGTGATCGGAGAAATGACAAATAACAAGCCCTACTTACACTGCCCAAAAAACTCGCTTTAAATATAAAAAAAATTAAATATAAAAACTCTTTACATATAAAAAACGTACTTACAGTCTCTGAGTCAGAACATTAAACAGGCATTGTAGTCTACTCTCCCAGGATCAGGAAACAGTCCTCCATAAAATGTGCTGCACACATCTGAATATTTGGGTTGAAGTGTTCTGGAACAGTGTTGTAAATACAACTTAACCACTGATTTCTAGTCGTGTCCATTTTTGGAAGGCCAAACAAAGTAGTTTAGCTTTCACAACTAAACACAGCGTCACACACGGCGGGCTAGAGTGAGCAGAGGAAGGCGGGCTTGAGGCAACCACATGTGACGACCCCGGGCTGGACTCCACTTCGTCCACGGTGAAAGCCGATCCGGCGATCCACAGCGCGAAGTTTATGTATTTCCTCAGTGACCAGCACGGATCAGCTCTAGGCATGAC